TGTGTGTGTGTGTGTGTGTGTGTGTGTGTGTGTGTGTGTGTGTGTGTTTGTCTATTTTCATAACTTTGCACCGCCTCTGCTGCCCCTTGTCACTGTCTCTCTCTACTTGCTTCATGCTGAGAGAATGCACAGGATTGCCACCGGGCTATTTGCAGCGCTAATAGATGCAACGTCAGAAAAAAACCTGCATATAAGGCCACAGACTGCACTATGTTTTCACAGACCCCAGCGAGACACGCGCCATCAATTACTGTCCACACTGAGCCCGGCCTAATTCATTAACCGATGACAGGACAGCGGATCAACATTGTCACTGACATCTGGGAATTTTATGAGTCATAGGCTGGGGCATAAAGAGTTTGGACATCACAGGCATGAGCTTTGCAGTGTGGTGGTATGTTTGCTACTCTCATGCGTCTGAGGATTAAGAGCGTAAATGGATTTGTGCAATGTCATTTGAATATTAGAAAGTGGGCTTGTTAGCCTATCCTTGTAACCTCTGATTGTAGCTTATGCTAGGGGATTGTTAAGTGTCTGATACACTTTGAACTTCAGCCTCTCATAATAAAAGTTATGTTTGCATTAATTATTACTCACCAAAGAGCATTGTGTGTAACCTAACAAACATGTTGAACAAAGCAGGGACCCACTCGTATAAAAACTGTGCCACTGTGCTACAGTACCACCTACCCAACACCAATAGGGAGACAGACAAAGTGAAGCATTTAGCAGCTAAAGAGTCAGATAGTCCTCTGTACTTTCAGAAATTTTGAAAATGTAAAGAGTTAGTAGTTTAACTGCTTGGCCAAACTTTATGTCAAGATGATGCCGTGCACTCTTATGCCCCTCTCTTAGCTCAAGGCCTAATTAAGAGTAAGGCTAAAATAGGAATAAACGTGGTATTTAAAAAAGAAAAAAGTTGTAGTGTGCATCCATCCTTGGTCAGGAGGGTCTATGCACCTGCCCGACTTCATTTGCAGGCGTCGACTGATTCTCTCACTGGACGGTCACAGGGACTGACCAAGTGACCTTAACCTTGCGCACCCCAATGCCACATACATATACACACACACACCAACACACGCAAACACACACACACACACACACAAAACACACACACACACACACATATTCCTACCCCCAGGGGATGGTGGGGCTAGTTCAGACTGGGATACAAAGACAAGCATTATTCTTCGACATCCCTTGCGCCAAACTGCTGGGACGGAGGAGAGAGAGGAGGGAGATTTCATAATTTCATCATAATATTTTACCATTTTTCCAATCTTTTTGCAAAAACAATTCAATTGAACACACATGAGCTTATATGTGACACTAAATGTCTCTGTCTAATACAATCTGTGCTTTTGTTCAAATATAAAGATCTTTGAAAAATGACATGACATTTTAATTTTGCATAGTCACATGCCTAACTATAATGCATCACTTAATGTCCTGGGTAACGTTTGGATTCAGCAGTCTGCCTCAGTGAAGGTGAAATGGTTTAAAACAATGCATCCATCTCTGTTACGTCTCACTGTCCTGGTGCTGAGCTAGTACAGGGCAAACAAGGAAGTATTCCCATAAAGAAAGAGCCCACACTGTGTTTGCATTGCTTTCCTAAGCACAGTGACTGATGAAAGACCAGAAGCCACAGCGAGGAGAGGCACTGGACTTGTGCATACTGTCCTCCCCC